GGCACATGCCTGTAATCCCAGCAATTGGGAGGCTGAGGCAGGTAGGAAGACTGTTGCCAGTTCAAGATGAACTGTGCAGTGAGAACCTGTCTCAAAAAAGACCAAAAAGAGCAAGTGTCATGCTTGTTATGTTTGTTTATTTGTCTGAATAACTCCACAGCTCTCAAGAGGCTGAGGCTAGCCACCAACTGGAGGATAATCTGGGCTATGCTGTGAGTTCAAGGCTTGACCAGATTACATAGCAAAACTTTCAAAAAAACCAAAATATGGGGGGCAGGGAGATAGGTCAGGGGCCCTGTCCATTTAGCTCAGTTGTTTAAGTGCCTGCTTAAACAAAGCAGTCAGGCTCAGGCGCTGTGGTTCAAACCCAGATACTCACACCAAAATGGAAATGCCCTGAAGGCATCATGAGGCCGCCAAAAAAAAAAAAAAAAAACCACCCTTCTAGGCTCAGGTGCTGTGGTTCCAGGAGATAGCTCAGTAGAATAAGCACTTGCCTGGGAAGCGCAAGGGCCTGAGTTCAATCCCTGGTTCAAATTTAAAAATAATAATAATAATAATAATAATAATAATATATAGACCCTGTACTAAATTTAAAAAATAATTTAAAAAACCAAAATAAATAATTATTCTCAAATAATAATCTTTAATGTACCATGTTTGCTACTACCAGATACAGCTAGAGAAATAAAATGTAACATATAAAAAGCAAGCAACACATCAGAGTATAGTATGAATGTCAAAGCTGGGAACATCACAGCAACTAAGTATTCTAAAAAACACTTTTGTGGTTCAGTTTTCCATAGCTTGCAAAAGAAGGGTAATTTTTTCACACACACACATCCACAATTTTGTCTTACCTGAAATGCTAACAAAATAATTCTGTAAATGTGAAATACTAAGGCAAGATCAAAACTCAAATGCCCAATATAAAAGTCACCCAGTTAGGGAGTATGGCAAAATGCTGAATCACACACTAATTCCAATACTAATAATAGTTACCCATCAAAGAAAACCAAAACCCTGCATTTTTCTATTAAACCTTTGATTTTTTTTTTTTTTTTTTTTTTTTGGTTCCATTGTTGCTATCAACTCAGTTAAAAGCAATACATACATACCACATTATACCATAAATTTTGGCAACCAAAGTGATTGCAATTTTAAGATGGATAATGTCAGGGGGCAGGGGAGATGGCTCAGTAGAATAAGTGCTTGCCTAGCAAGCGCAATGGCCTGAGTTCAATCCCCAGTTCCGAAAAAAAAAAAAAAAAAAAAAGACGGATAATGTCAAGTATAGAAGAGAATATAGAGTAACCGAAATTCTGAGTTTAGAATGGATATGTAAATATGCTATCATCTTTTGGGGAAGTTGTTTAACATCATTTACTAAACCTAGACCCTACGATGCATAAACTATCCTCTACAATATACAAACAAACAGATCTTATTATGGCCCAGAAATTCCAATCCTACGTAATCCAAGAGAAACATGTAGACTTGCTCACCAAAATAAGTGTACATTTTTAATGGTCGAAACTAAAAATAACCCTAATACCCAAGAACAAAAAGAGAAAATAAAATAGAGTATAATCAACACAATATAACATTATTTAGAAATAACAGTAAAGACACTGTTCCTACACAACAGTCTGACTACACCTAACAAATACAGTTGAAAAAAAAATAAACCTACTTAAGAGTACACAGTGTATTGTTACATGGTTATAAAGAGCCAACAAAGTACAAAACCAGTCTAATGCTAGAAATCACGAAGTTACATTTGAGAAAAAGCAGTGACCAGGAGAGGGCAAAGCAGGTATGTGGGGGATACTCATCTTCTAGTTCTTGATCTGAGCGCTGATTTCGTATTATATGTTCTCTCAGAAAAGTCCCAAGAACTTCTGACTAGGATGCTTTTCCCTCGGTAGGGGCTATAGTTTCAACATAACCTTCAAGTTTATGTGTTGGAAACATAATCCACAATGAAGCAGTGTTGGAAGGTACAAGGTATAAAAGAGGTTAGGTTAGTAGAACTCTGGGCTCATGAATAGATTAATGCCATTATCATGAGAGTTTACTTACTGCATGAGTGGTCTTGTTATAAAAGCCCTGCTTGGTTTTTGACCTTTGCGCTTTGTGAGATAACATACCACAAAAACCTTTGCCACCACCAAAACTTTGGAGGCTCCAAAAAATAAGAAATAAATCCCCTTTATAAATTATTGAGTTGGGAAGGAGAGACAGCTTGGAAGTCTAAGCGCCTGTCTGGCAAGCACAAGGACCTGGGTTCTTGACCAGGAACCCTAGGCACATGGTGGCACAGGCCTGTAACCCCAGCACTGGGGAGGCTGAACTAAGAGGATCACTACAAGTCCCAGTTGTGTGGCAAGACCCTATACCAGATAAAAAAGATTTTTAAATAAAATAAAAGGGGGCCAGGGAGGTGGCTCAGTGGAATAAGCGCTTTCCTGGCAAGCACAAGGGCCTGAGTTCAATCCCCGGTTCCCCCCCACCAAAAAAAATAAACTGAGTCTGTAATATTTTGTTATAGCTATATGACGCACACTAAGGAAACTGGTATCAGGAATTAGGCAACCGAAAATGTGGAAGCAGCACTGGAACTGGTAGAGGTTGGAAGAGTTTTGAAGTGCATTCTGGAAAAAGCTTGTTTTGCAATGAACACAAAATTATGGGCAATTCTGGTGAGGAATCAGGAGAAAACGGTGTACAGAAAGTCTGAGACTTAATAGAGATTAAGTGGTCCTGATCAGGACGTTCATTAGACAGTAAAGGCAAATCTGGTGAGGTCTTTGATAGAAATAAGGAACAAGGTATTGCAAACTACAGTACAGGCCACCCTGTTACAAAGTCACCAAGAAGTTAGGTGAATTGTGTCCATGTTTGAGGGCTTTATGGAAAGTGAAGCTTAACAACAATAAACTAGAATATACTCCAAAACATAAATCAGCTAATCAGATTATCAAATAATTATCAATTTTAAAATGCTATTTTAAAACTGCCTGTTAGGACCCTACATCTCAGTCTTTTAAAAATATGACATAGTCCTATCTACTATTTTTCCTTCACCTACTTACTTCACAATCCCTCTTCATCTGTTTATATCCTGTCATATATTTCATGTTCTAACTCTACTCTTATTTCTGCAGTAATAAGAAAAATCCTAGGAAGTTCCAGCATCTTAAAATGTGTCTGTCTATGGGTACTGTTCACTTTCAATGCTTACTAAACAAATATTGTTAATTTGAGCCACAACTTAATCATTCAAAAATTATAAAATTCATCAATAAAGTAACCATTTTTTATAAAACATCTTAAGTTGCAAATTTTCTTAACATGTCAGCCTCACCAAATACACCTACATTAAAATCAAGCTCATAATTCCCAAAACACGTAATCTTTGAAACACAAATATCTCGAAAAATGCTTAACACTTGTAAGCAGCATTAAGTACTAAAACATACCAAGTTAATTTATAATTTTTCTAAAAAGAAAAAAAATGCTTTGATGTCCACCGTAAACTATATCAAAGTATTTCAAAATCTAAAAACTGTTCAGAACCCAAGAAAACAGGACTCTCATTCGTTTAGAAATGATCCATATACTAATAAGCAGGGTAGAAATCTGGCAACAAGGCTATTTGTAGGGCAACATTCCATAAAATACACATTATATTTACACTTACAGTGAACTCCACTGCCCACTTGCAAGTCAAAAAGGGGAAGGGAATGTAGTTCTGTAGTAGAACTCCTGCCTAGCACGCGGGAGTTCAACTCTCAGCACTGCAAACATAACGAAACGTAAAAACGATAAACATCCTTAAACATCCAAGCGCTCAGTAGCACCCAAACTCACGCATACAGAAACTCTTTCAAGGCACAATGCTACGATTTTGCTCGATACTATATTGTCGAAGACAGGATCCCTACAGACATCCAGCTAATTTACTCTAGCTTCCAAGATAACTATGTCGAAATGCCAGTCTTGCGAAATTCCTACTCTAAACTCAAACTCTCGATTAAACCTGCGAACATTAGAAAAGCTGCGGTCCTCCCCTTCTTAATCCTTAGAAAGCATTTGCTGCCTGGAAAACCTCTCTCCAGTAAGCCCTCTACAAACTTTTTCCGTTCTTCCAAACCCTCAAGACCGCCCCTCACCTCCCGCCCCCTTACCCACACACATTCCCACTAGGGAACCTCAACACCGCAGACACCACTCCACGCGGGCACGCAAAACACTGGAGCCTGCAAACCCGGCCCCTTTCCACACCCCCCGGAAACGACACCCCCTGGCTCACCCGCCGCACGCCACCGCCCATCCCCCTCCACCGCCCCTACTCCCATCACTCCAGTCCACCCACCCACGTCCCTGGGAACCGAGCCTCCCCTCGCTCCCGGGCTCGCTCAGGGCAGTGGGAGGGAAGCAGGAAGAAGGACGGAGGGCTCGGGCCTGGCCTAGGCCCCTCGGATCGCCCCGGGAGGTGAGGAGGGGCCCGGCGAACTCAGCTCTGTCCCCCAAAGTAGCAGGGCCTCCTCGGGGCTTCCCCGCGCCACCGCCTAGAGGCCGAGGGCCCAGCCCGCCCGGCCACACTCACTTGCCAGCCGCGGTCCGTCGAGTCCTCCGCTGCTGCCTCCACCGCCCGCTGCGGCTGCGGGCCCCGGGCCCCCCAGCTCCGGCTTCTTGGGCCCCGGGGGCGGCCCGGCTCCCCCTCCCGGCACAGCTGCGGCCGGAAAGCCGGCCCCCGGCGCGCCGGCCAGGGCCAGAGGGACGCTGTTGCTATGGAGGCCGAGGCCCGGGGCGGCCCCGGCGGCCGGGTCCTCATGCAGGAACTGACACTCCTCCCCGTAGAAGCAAGTCTTATCCTTGGCGTAGTAGCGACAGTACTTCAGCTTCACTCCCGCCGCCGCCCCGCCGGGGACACCCCCGACCCCCGGCGGGGCCACCACCGCCACCGCCGCCGCCAGCGAGGAGGGAGAGGAGGCGGCGGCCGAGGGGGGCGGGAGGCCGCCGCCACTGTTCATGGCAACGCCGCAGCTTCGTCTTCCGCCGCCACCATAGACGGGGGAGGAAAGGAAGACGCTGCCCGAGCCAGATAAAAGCTGGGCGGGTGGGTCTGTCCCGCTGCGGGAGCCGGAGCCGCCCGGGGAGAGGGGGGAGGGGAAGGAGGAGGGGGTAGGACGGGGGAGGGGAGGGGGAGAGTTGGGATTCTCACTCACTCTCTCGTTCTCTTTTCTTAAAGGGGCCGCGCGGGACGGCGGGCTGGGCGCACGGGCCCAGACGGGGACTTCGAGGGTGCGGGCTAGGGAAGAGGGAGCGGCGGCGGCGAACGGCTGGAGAGGGCGGAGGGGGCGGTTTATTTTTAAATTCTGCCTCCACTCGCTCTCTCGCGCTCTGGTTCCTCCGAGTTGTTTATTCCATTTTCTCTTCCTGAGACGGCCGTCGCCGTTGCGCGTGCGCGCCGCGGCGCGGTGCCTTGTGGGTAGCGGGAGCGCTTGAGGGAGTCTGGCCGGGCGCCGGGCCCCTGGGGGCATCCGCGCGCGGGCGGCCTGGGGACGGGCGGTCCTCGGCGGCGTTCCCGGAGGCGGCGCGGCGTGAGCTTGTGGGGAGACCGGATAGCTCCCTGTTTGGTGTATCCTACCGTTCTAGCCAGGTGTCACTTTGTAACTGAGAGAGAATTGACAGTACCCGGCCATTTGGAAGGGTTGCACCTGGGAGCTGTCGGAGCCCGGACTCTGCGCAGTAGTTTTTGTTTGTCACGTTGCCTCTGCCGCTCCTCCCCCCAGTTCCCTCCTTGTAGGTGAGGAGAACTCGACGACTGACTACCTTAGCTTCTGGGCGCTTTGTCAAAAACTGGGCCAAGAACATGTTGAAATCGGCAAACCCCCTGCTCGGTGCTGCACCTGTTTTCTCTGTTATTTATATTACTTAAGGCCCTCAGGAAATTTATATGAAAACTAAAATGTCACCTGGGACAGCATCGCCTAGACGTCACGGGCAAGTTTCATTTGTAAATACAGTAGATTGTTTTTCTCCAATCAACCTAGGTCTGTATTTGAAATTAATCTTTTTATTCTATTTTTTTTTTTTTGAAACAGGGCCCCACACAACAGTTCGAGCTGGCCTTGTGCTTACTCTTGTAGCCCCCAGGCTGGTCTCGAACTCACAGTGATCCCCTTGACTCAGCCTCCTGAGTGCAGGGATTACAGTCACGCATCAACACGGCAGGTTCCTGAAATTAATCTTTAAAAGATTAATTTTTTCCCTCAGCGACCTCCAATATTCTGCCTCACTATATTTAATGTTACAGGTTTTAAAGAATTTTAATGGCAATGAAGGGAATTTTAACAGTTTAGCTTTTCTCTTAAGATTTCAACAAAAGGCAAATGGGAGGTGGTGTTGACAGTATTTAAGAAATTAAGTGAACAGTGACAAAAGAATGGATATAAACAAAACCACTATGCTGCAAAAAGGAAAAGGTGGATCCTATAGATCACTAAACTGGTAAGGCTGGTGATGTTCCTTAGCTAAATTCCAGAATAATAACATTGTATCATGTCATGTTTAAAAGCACTTTCGTTTGTTTATTTGGCCAATCTTTATGCCCAATAGAAGCACCAGGAATTGTACTAGGTACTAGAGAAGGAAAAGTGAGCAATGTGCAGTCTTTTTTTTTTTTTCTTTTGGCCATCTCAGCCCACCCTGAGCGTGGGGCTGGCATGGCAGTGTGGATCTGGGGATGAACCACAGTCCCTTGTGCCTGCCTAAGCTTGCCTGTGCAGACCGCTGAGTTATCTGAGTTATCTTGCCTGCCAGCAATGGGCAATCTTAACTGCTTTCTGCTTGGGAGTGGTGGTACCGGCTGGTAATTCCAGCACTGGTGAGGCTGGGGCAGGATTGCCACAGTTCAAAGCTGGCCTGGTCTACATAGGAAGACCCTGTCTCAAAAAACTTTAGAACAAAATTTTGTAAAAGAGAAGTTACCTGCTTTGTAATGCCTTATTTATTCTCTGGTGTGGAACATCTAAGGTAAATTAGCGATTATGAACCATTGTCTTCCATGCTAACCATGTCACACTGACTACTAGAAGATTTTAAAAATATATACTTCTTGGGGCCAGGGAGATGGCTCAGTGGAATAAGTGCTTCCCTGGCAAGCAAAAGGGCCTGAGTTCAATCCCCGGTTCCGGAAAAAATAAAAAATAAAAAATAAAATAAAAAAATAAATTAAAAAAAAAAATAAAAAAATAAATTTAAAAAAAAAATATATATATATATATCTGGGCCATGGTGGTGCACGCCTGTAATCCCAGCCTTGTGGAGGCAGTAAACAGGAGGATCACTATGAGTCCAAGCTGCCCAGTGAGGCCTTGCACAAAAAAAAAAATTTAAACCACAAAAAATTTATATATATATATATACACACACACACTCTTCTTGGTTGAAATTAATAGCTTAGTAGCAATGATTGGAAACTTCAGTGAATTCAGACAGATCTGGCTTTGAAACCCAGTGCCCACACTCCATAGATACATTACATTAAGTAACATGCCTCTCTGTGCCTAATTTGTACAACTGGGATACAATAATGTAAATAAAATGTCTGATAGTAAGAATTGAGTAGGCTGTAGCTACTGCTATCTGTTGATACCATTCCCACAAGTAGTAGTCAGTACATACAGAATAACATTCTAGACAAAACGAATAGCTTTTAGAGAAGGCCTCGAGGTGGATATGGACAGGTTTATTTTGTTAGGGAAAATAGATAATTGACCAGAGTCTATAGAAGTCCTTAAAAGGTCATGTTCAAGGATTGGGTTTTTTTTGCTTGAGGACAATCACATGTTACTAGCAGGGATTTAAAAAGTCAGGTAATGACATGCAGATTTCCCTTTAGCAAAGTACATTTTGACCCTCCTAAGACAAAAAAGATGAGTCATAACATTTTATACTTGAACAAAGTGAGGAATGGTATAGCCCAAAGTTACTGGTCTGTAAAATTCAAAGCCAGGAGTTTTGTTTGTGTGTGTGTGTGTGTGTGTGTGTGTGTGTGTGTTTTGTTGTTGTTGTTTTGTTTTTTATCTCTTTTGAGACAGGGTCTCACTGTGCAGATCAGGATGGCCTTGAGCTCACTTTGTAGCCCAGGCTGGTCTGGTACTTGTGAGGATCTTCCTGTCTCAGCATTCTGAGTGCTGGGATAGCAGGTGTGCAGCATGTTGCCTGCACAAAGCCAGGACTTAAACTCTGGGTTCCAGATGACAAAACTTTTGCTCTTTGTATACCCTTTAGCTATTGTTAAATGAACTTGATGGCTCCTGATAAGGAAAGTAGTGTTTATGGTGAGACAGCAGTTCAACAATCCATACTATTGTGCATTAAGTATAGTAGCCCTTAATTGAGAATCTACTATGTGCTGTTCCACGTAAGTTCCGTGCTAGACTTTAATACACAAAATACTTAGGATAAGGCCACAATTGTTACTGGGGTATTTCAAAGAAAGTGCTGAAGGTAAATCTTCACTACCACATTTAACAAGGTTTCATGTTAAATTATTAGGAATTAAGTTACAGAAAAGTATACTAAGATACTAGAATTAGGTATCATTAATACTCTAATTAATCAAAATGTTCACCAAGCTGTTTGGGATTCTTTCAACAATACCCAACAATGAACACTGTTATGCTTGACATCTTGAATGCGAAATGTTTTTTCTGGGACTCGGGGAGCTCGTCGTGACAGTACTGGCATTATCATGATGTGAATATATCATCTCCCTAGGTAACTATAATGGCTATTCTACAAAAATAAAAAATTGCTTGATTATATCATCTGCCATTTTTAAAATTATTTAAGGGAGAAAAGGAAAAATAAAGATTATTTAGAGTTTTTTTTACATTTCCAAGAGCACTACAGTCATCATGTTACAGTGATGCATGCATACCTGTTTCTAGCAGCATAACTCACCATAGCTCAGTCACAGGAGTATGCCCACTCACAGATGAATGGATAAAGAAAATGTGGGATGTATACACAATAGAGTACTGCTGTGTGACAAAGATAATTCGAGTCATTTGTAGGAAAATGGATGGATCATGAGCCCGTAATACTATGTGGAATAAGTCAATCATAAAAGTTTAAATAAGGTTTCTCTAATCTGAGAGACTTGAAATAGAAGCAATTTTAAAAGCCATGTTACGAAGCAGGGAAGTAGATTTACTAGATACAAAGTGGTCTGGAGGAGGGGAAGGGAAATGGGGAAGTAAAAATTGTACAGATGCAAAATGTGTACATATCAAATGTTCCAGCTAAAATGAACCATCATGCATTCACACACATACACTAATAAAGTCTGTAAAAAGTAATCTAGATCTGGGAGGCTGAGACAGGTATCAAGTTAAAACCTAGCCTAGGCAATGTAGCAACTTAGTGCTTTTTGAGACCCTGTCTAAAAATTAAAATTTAGGGGCCGGGGAGATGGCTCAGTAGAATAAGCACTTCCCTGGCAAGCACAAGGGCCTGAGTTCAATCCCCGGCCTGCCATGCTGACCTTGCCCCTAGGGTGAGCTATCAAGACTTGACTTGGTGGTGTGCACCTGTAATCCCAGCCCTTGGGAGGCTGAAAAACAGGAAGGATCACTGTGCGTTCAATCTGTGTAGTGAGACCCTGTACTAAATACATTATAAAGAAAATTTAAAAATAAAAGGGGCCAAGGTTTTAGCTCCATATGAAGGCCTTAAATTCAGTCCCTACTACCACAGCCAATCTAGAGTGCAACTACATGTGGATAAGTTAGAGTTGACTTTTTCATTTCCAGAAATAGCATTTGCTGCAGATAATACGCTACATTTTTAGATATCGTATTTGATATGGATATATAGATACCACATTCGTGAAGTACGTCAGTTTATGCTCTAAGCACAGCCTTATTTTTTTAGTTGAAACAGGGTGTCACTGAGTTACCTAGGCTGCACTCTCAATTACAATCTTCATGCGTAGGCCTCCCAAATAGCGCTTCCTGGCAAGCACAAGGGCCTGAGTTCAAACCCCAGTTCCGCCAAACCCCCCCCCCAAAGAAAAAAAAATGTAGCCTAAATTTTAGCCAAACATGAAACTTTGTGCCCCATTCTAAGATTTTTATATATTGCACTTTCTGATAATGATCCAGTACATCCTAACAGTAGAATATAAAACAGATTATTAAGCCTCCCTGTTTAGAACAAAGTAAAATATCTGAAAGTCAATTTTAAAAGGAGGTACTGCATTTTAAAATTTATAAGATCAATTGCTATACTTGAGAAATGTATAGTCACAAATAGTTTTATTATTAAATAAGAATGAATGACAGGGCTGACCAGATAGCTCAGCAAACTCCTCAAGTGCCTGCTCAGGCGGGCTCAGGGACCTGGGTTCGATTCCCTGCGTACCATGCTGGCCCCACCCCCGCTGAGATGG